GAGGAGGAGGAGGAGGAGGAGGAGGAAGAGGAGGAGGAGGGTTCACTGGATCTCACACTGCACTAGGACAAGCCAGGGGGAAAACCAAAGGTGGGAGCCAGGGAGCAGGCGGGCTGCGTGGGAAGGATCTAAGCGACCCCTTTGTAGCTCTTCAGTGTTGGTTCTATTTATACGAGATTTCATTTCCTTGCTTGTGATGCCTTGTTTTTTGTACAGTTTTATGTACATGCAGGTGTAGCTTTTCTAAAGGAGAAATCCTATGGCAGAGTAAAGTTCCCCCACTATTTTTCAGATGGTGCCCTATGTCTAAGGCGACGCCTCTTGCTAAGGTTGTACTGCTCAATGTGTGATGCATTTCCCTGTGCGGGGAAGCCTTTGGGCCTTGGGCTTGGTTTTCCCCGGGCGCTGTGAGCACAAAATTGATTCCCTTGTAACTTCTTTCTGTTCGGAGCCGTGAGCATGACACCGTCGTGATCCCCCTTTCCGTTCTCCCCTGTTCCGTTCGTTTGCTGAGCTGTCAAGATGACCAACTCCATTGTAATTAGCCCTTCCTAAAGCTTTACAATAAAAGTGTGAAAACCCGGCTGCCTGGGCCTGGCTGCTTCTTCCCACGCGTCCCCCCCCCCACCCCCGAGCATCCTTTGGGATCTACCTGCCTTCCTGCCCTGCTCTTGGCTCCCTGTTTTCCAGCTTGAGGATGTTCTTGCACAAGGACAAGGAGGAGAAGCCCCCTGAGCACTTTCCCACAGACCAGGCTCCTTCAAGGCCAGGTTGGATGGGGTTTGGATCATCCTGCTCCAGTGGAATCTGTCCCTGTCCATGGCTGGGACATGGATGAGTTCTCAGGCCACTTCCAAACCAAGCCATTCCATGATTCTGTGATTGATCCTATGATTGGAACTCAAACATTTCAATGGAAAATGGAACAACACCTCCAGCCCCAAGGCCGCCTGCACCTGTCACAAGCCAAGGTGGGAATCAGGGAAAATCCCATCAAAGCTCTCCAGACCCCCTCCCACCTCCACCACCGCTCCTTGGAGACTTGCTCCATTTCCCACCCTTTCACCACCTCCTTTCCCACGCATGGCTGGGTGTTTTTTTGGTACTTCAGACCCTTTGGAAACACCTGGGCCACTCCAAACCAGGGCACATCCGTGGCTCTTCCCACCCCAGCTGCAGGGAGCTCCCCCAGCCATGGCTGTGGGGTTTTCCTGCCCACCTTTGCACAGGATCCCGACGATCCCGAGCTGCACCAGGAGCTTTCCTGGCTCAGAGTTCTCCCCTCCCTGGTGTGTTCCATACAGGTGTGGCACATCTGGGCTGTGCTGGGCTCACACACAGCCTTGCACCTCTCCCTGCTCAGCTCTGTGGTTGGACCACCAGGCAAAGACTCCTTCCCAGCTTGGAGGACTCCAGGGAGGAAG